TCCTCGTTCCCCTCCCCATCCTTCTCGTCCCCCCATCGTCGTGCTCCTCAACCTCCTCCTCCTCCTCCGACTCCTCCGACACCTGCTCGGTCTTCGCGTGCAGGCGCACGTTCACCGACGCCTTCTCCGCCCGGGCGGAGCGCGTGAGGCCGACGGGCAGGCTCCGGAGGCCGAGCTCGATCTGCCCGCGGTCACGCTCCCAGAGCAGAAGTCACCGCAGGGCTGCCGCCTTCACTGCGCACGCGGGTCGCGCCAGCCCAGCACGGCGTGTTGAAAGGGGGCGTCGCCTGGCCGCCGAAGCTCTCCGTGATCGTGCACGCACCTCTCGTCAGGCCCGACGTCGAACGAGGGAGGGAGGGAGGGAATGCGTTCTGGGTCGACGCTGCGTCCGACCTCGACGTATTCGGGAAGGCAGAGCGGCGACATGAAGAGAGATCCAGACAATCAAGTACCCGGAAGGTGCCGCTGCAGAGGCACCTTCAAGATTCAAGTGCCTGCTTTGTGTATGAGCACCTGTATATATACATATACACACACATCTGCAACTGTCTTCAGCACTGAAAAATGAACGCGCCAACCTGCATGAGTGCCCAGGCAGCTGTCAAGGAGGGCCCACGGGGACCCAGGTGGACGCGCCAGCAGGAGGGGATTACCAGCCTGGAACATATCCCTATCCCTAGGCGATCTTAGGGATTTCCTCAGTTTCTGAGGGTGTATCCCTAAGATTGCCATCTCCTTTTAGCGTGTCAGTCTTAGGGATAGGGATGGGTTCGAGGCTGGTGAGGGGAGGAGGTCTTCGGAGGTGGGTGAGGACCGCGATGAAGGAGCCGCCCCGCCCTTGGACCACGGTGGGCCGGAGGCGCGCCGCAGGGCCAGCGTGGGCCCGGGAGCCCTCTCGCCGCGCAGGGCTGTGCCGGCAAGCCTGGGCGCGCGGCCCTGGCAGAGGCAGGGCAGCGAGGAAGAGGGCCGGGCCCGAACGGTGTTTGTCGTCTTCGTCATGTTCTCCTTTCCCCCTCCCCCCCCTCCCCCTCCCCCTCCTCCCTCCTCCTCCTCTCCTCCTCTCCTCCTCCTCCTCCTCCTCCTCCTCTCTCCTCCTCCTCCTCCTCCTCCTCCTCCTCCTCCTCCTCCTCCTCCTTCCCCTCGTTCTGTCTCCCGTCCGCCGGCACCGCAGGGCGGAGTGGAAACGGAAGCGGCCCACGCCATCGCCAGAGCACCGTTTGGGCCCACCCCTGGCGAGAGAGGGGGGAGTCCGTCAGAAGCAAGAAAAAGAAGCCCTGATCTGGGGGGGGGGGGGCCGGGGAGAAGGAGAGGCTGGGTGCCAGGAGGGGCACGCCTCTCCGTACAGACATCCTTCGAGAGCTCTCATGCTTGCTTGACCAGCCAGCAGGCAAATATGGCAGAAGAGGGAGAGAGAGAGAGAGAGAGAGACCGACAGACAGACCGACCGACCGACCGACCGACAGACAGACAGACCGACAGAGACAGACAGACAGACAGGCAGACAGAGATCGAGAGAGAGAGAGATGGAGAGACAGGGACAGAGACAGAGACACAGGGAGAGAAAGAGAGAGAGAGAGAGAGAGAGAATAAAAACACAAATTAGCCTGGCGAAGGACCCAACCACATGCAGTTGTGAGCACCGTCGTTGTATTCAACGCCTTCGGAGGAACTCCCTATAGGGCCACGAAACGTGTGAGGGATGTGCCAAAATTTGTCCGGTGGGCGCATGCAAGCAGCCACTGGGGCCGTCGGTGGAATTCCCGATGGGGCCACGAAACGTGTGAGGGGTGTGCCGAAATGGGTGTGGGTGACGCATGCGGGCGGTGGCACTGGATCCTTCGGTGGTGTTCCCTATGGGGCCACGAAACGTGTGAGGACTGTGCCGACGTGGGTGTGGTGGGCGCATACGACCGCAGCCACTGGCGCCTTCGGTGGAGATCCCTCTGGGGCCACGAAACGCGTGAGGGGTGTGCCAGAACGGGCGTGGGTGACGCATGTGGGCGGTGGCACCGGGGCCTTCGTTGGAGCTCCCTATGCGGCCACGAAACGTGTGAGGGGTGTGACGACATGGGTGCGGGTGACGCATGCGGGCGGTGGCACTGGGGCCTTCGGTGGTGTTCCCTTTGGGGCCACGAAACGTGCGAGGGGTCTGCCGGAATAGGTGTGGGTGACGCATGCGGGCGGAGGCATTGGGGCCTTCGGTGGAGCCCCCCATGGGGCCACGAAGCGTGTGAGGGGTGTGCCGAAATGGGTGTGGGTGACGCATGCGGGCGGTGGCATTGGGGCCTTCGATGGAGCTCCCTATGGGGCCACGAAACGTGTGAGGGGGAAGCCGAAGTGGGTGTGGGTGACGCATACGGGCGGTGGCACTGGGGCCTTCGGTGGAGCCCCCTACGGGGCCACGGAACGTGTGAGGAGTGTACCGACATGGGCGTGGGTGACGCATGCGGGCGGTGGCACTGGGGCCTTCGGTAGGGCGCAGTATGGGGCCACGAAACGTATAAGGGTTGCGCCGAAACCCGTGGCGTTGACGCATGCTGGCGGTGGCACTGGGGCCTTCGGTGGCGTTCCCCATGGGGCCACGAAATGTGTGAGGGGTGTGCCGACATGGGTGTGGGTGATGCATGCGGGCGGTTGCACGTTGGTTTTCGGTGGTGTTCCCTATGGAGCCACGAAGCGTGTGAGGGGTGTCCCGAGATGTGCGTGGGTGACGCATGCGGGCAGTGGCACTGGGGCCTTCGGTGGAGCTCCGTATGGGGCCACGAAGCGTGTGAGGGGTGTGCCAAAATGGGTGTGGGTGGCGCATGCGGGCGGTTGCACGTTGGTTTTCGGTGGAGCTCCCTATGGAGCCACGAAACGTGTGAGGGGTGTGCCGAAATGTGTGTGGGCGACGCATGCTGGCGGTGGCACCGGGGTTTTCTGTGGAGCGCCCTATGGAGCCGCGAAACGTGTGAGGGGTGTGGCCTTCGGTGGAGCTCCCTATGTGACCACGAAGCGTGTGAGGGGTGTGCCGAAATGAGTGTGGGTGACGCATGCGGGCGGTGCAGGGAGGAGGGGGAGGGGGAGTCAGTGAGTGACGCGGGGCGCTGTCTTTTCAAAACGAGGACGCAACACCACAGGATGGTTGGGAAATTAGCCTGACGAAGGACCCAACCACATCCAGATGCGAGTGCCGCTTTGTGGGTTCCCTATGGGGCCACGAAACGTGTGAGAGGTGAGCCGACATCGGTGGCGTTGACGCATGCGGTCTGTGCCACTGGAGCCTTCGGTGGAGATCCCTATGGTGCCACGAAGCGCTGTCCTGGGCGGCGGTGGCGCATTCGGTCTGTGCCACTGGAGCTTTCGGTGGAGCTCCCTATGGGGCCACGAAAACGCTGTCCTAGGTGGCTCTGGCGCATGCGGCCTGAGCCACTGGAGCCTTCGATGGAGCTCCCTGTGGGGCCACGAAAACGCTGTCCTGGGTGGCGTTGACGCATGCGGCCTGTGCCACTGAAGCCTTCGGTGGAGCTCGCTATGAGGCCACGAAATGCTGTCCTGTGCGGCGTTGACGCATGCGGCATGTGCCACTGGAGCCTTCGGTGGAACTCCCTATGGGGCCACGAAACGCTGTCCTGGGTGGCGTTGGCACATGCGGCCTGAGGCACTGGAACTTTCGGTGGAGCTCCCTATGGGTCCACGAAGCGCTGTCCTGGGTGGCGTTGACGCATGCGGCAGGTGCCACTGGAGCCTTCGGCAGAGCTCCCTATGGGGCCACGAAACGCCGTACTAAGTGGGGGGACGCATGCGGGCGGTAGCACTGAGACCTTCGGTGGAGCTCCCTATGGGGCCACGAAGCGCTGTCCTGGGTGGCGGTGACGCATGCGGCCTGTGCCAGTGGAGCCTTCGGTGGAGCTCCCTATGGGGCCACGAAACGCTGTCCTGGGTGGCGGTGACGCATGCAGCCTGCGCCACTGGAGCTTTCGGTGGAGCTCCCTCGAAACGTTGTCATGGGTGGCGGTGACGCATGCGGCCTGTGCCAGTGGAGCCTTGGGTGGAGCCCTATGGGGCCACGAAGCGCTGTCCTGGATGGCGGTGACGCATGCGGCCTGCGCCACTGTAGCCTTCGGTGGAGCTCCCTCGAAACGTTGTCCTGGGTGGCGTTGACGCATGCGGCCTGTGCCACTGGAGCCTTCGGCAGAGCTCCCTATGGGGCCACGAAAACGCTGTCCTGGATGGCGTTGGCGCATGCGGCCTGTGCCACTGGAGCCTTCGGTGGAGCTCCTTTATGGGGCCACGAAACACTGTCCTGGATGGCGGTGACGCATGCGGCCTGTGCCACTGGAGCCTTCGGTGGAGCTCCCTATGGGGCCACGAAACGCTGTCCTGGGTGGGTGAAACGCAGCGAGGTGACGAGGTGGATGGGAGGAGGGAGGAGGGGGAGGAGGGAGTAGGGGGGGGAGGAAGGAGTCAGGAACGCGGGGCGCTGTCTCTTCAAAACGAGGACCGAACACCACAGGATGCTTGGGAAAAAAGGAGGAGAAAGGAAGAGGGCGGCGAGGAAAGATTGCGCTGGACTTCCGGCAGCGCGTAGCAAGGAAGCTTGTGCGCGGCTGGCCAGGCGAGTTGACAGCAGGTGGGACACACACACACACACACACACCAGGATACAGGCGCGGGGGGTGCCCCGCGTCGCCATGGGCACCCCGGGCCTCTGGGAACCGTCACGGAGAAGCCCAGAGCCGCCCCCGCTCACCGCAGTAGTAGCGACCCAAGACGTCCACGACAGCCTCCAGACAGCCCAGGGAACTTCCAAGACGCCCCAAGAAGCTGCCGAAAACCTACCCAAGAGGGCTAATTCCGTGTATTCTACAAGGTTCGTTCATGGATTTTCACGAGTGCGCGTGTCCAGCTCCGGTGCAATCCGAAACGGCCGCAGACGCCCTCGAGTTCGCTCTGAGGCTGCCCAGGCACCTTCGAACATGGCCCAAAAACACACCAAGAGGGCCCCCAGACCTTTCCGTAGCCATTTTGGCTCAAGCCATTTTGGCTCAAGCTGCGCAGCCGTGCAGTCCATGGCGGCCCGGGTTGAGGTCAAGCGCTTGCTGCAGCAGGCGACGGACCTTACAATGGCCGAGCTAGATGCGTTCATGGACGCAGGAATGGATGAGCCCGTGAAGAAGATCTTAATGGGTTACCAGGGGGACTTCGTGAGGAGATCACGCGTCAGGCGCCCCAGCCTGTCCGCGAGCACCGAGGATCCCGGATCCGACGGCATCTTGAGCAATGCGTTCTCGGATCTGTCGTTCATCGACCAGAGCTTTCCTCTGAAGGAGACTGCAGGCACTGAGAATGTGGCTTCCACGCAGACGGTCAACAAGGCCATCGATACGCATTTCCTCGACTTGGATGCTGCCGTCTCCCAGGCGTTCGACTCTCGAGAAGGTGACGAGCAGGCCAAGCTCGACATGGACATGGCGGAAAAACTGGCCCGCTGGCAAGGCCGGCGCCAGCAGAAGATCCAGAAGCGCACCCAGTGGAAGCACAACTTCAACAGCCTGAATGGGGAGCACAAGTTGGGCTTCTGCAGTAGCGATTGCGTTCGTTGCAAGGAGGCCACCGAGAAATGAGAAGTTCCTGAACTCCAAGCGCGATTTGTGATTTGCTTCCATGGGCACCGCGCTCCAGCCGTGGCGCGGGCCTAGTGGCTTGGTGGTTGCAGCATAGCTGTCTGTCCGAAGAGGCAGCCGTCGACGCCGAAGGGGGGGGGCGAGAGGACGGTAGGTGCAAGAGTGAAGGGAAGAGGAGGAGAAGGAGGAGAGCGAAGTTCATAAAGGTGACAAATTCGTGGCCCGCTGGAGATCTGACAGCCGCCGTGTCTGGCTGGCTTAACGTTTGAAGTGGGAAGCGGTTTGCCGCCCTGACGAGAAACCACACCACAGTCTGCCTTGCTTCTCGCACACGCGAGAAAGGTTCAACGCTTCATGCGACAATTTCGTGCATGCATCTTTTTCTACGAATCGCATGGCAACTGTATCACATCATGCATAGCGTTTGATCAGGGCATATCGAAATTGTCTGCGTGAAGTTGGATGCAGCTGTTGCCGGGTGCAGCTGTTGGAGAGTATCCCCTGCGATGGGAGTTCCACGCGGCGTGCAGGTAACACCTGTGGATCCAAGGGCGAGTAGGTCCAGTAGGCTGGTTGCGGTATCTGCCCCGGCGGCGGAAGTGGCGGCCGCCGATCAAGCTCAAGTAGGCGACATGTTTGAACATGATTGTCGCTCACTCCTGCCGCCGGAGGCGCGCAGAATTTTCACCCCCAGAGTCCAAGACGGTCCAGATGTCTTGAGGCTGCTCAACGATGTACGGAGGGAGGAGAAGGAGGATCAAAACGAGGGTGGGAGGTGTGATGGGGGACCCGTTCATGGTGGGCGCCTTCTCCTCTACGTTTCAGCGGCTTGTGCAGCAGTGGACGGAGTCCATGCGCCAAATCGAGCCATCGGTCAACCTCCCTCGAGCTGAGTGGCATGATCAGGAGATCGGCCTCAGCTTGTTTGAGTACGCGGACTATTTGTACCGCTACACCCTTGTCCCGCAGGGGACAGCCATGGGCCTCTTCCTCGACTTGCTCCGTCAGTCCGATGATCTACTATGAATCACCGTTCGGCCCCCTTACTCTGTCCACTTTCTTTTCCAGCTACCTGCCTCGGGAACACGAGGGTAATGAGACGCGCAGTCATGATCCTCGCATCGCGGATGCCCAGTATGATTGTGTCATGTTATTAATTATGTCAGATGACTGTGCTGCCCCACGAGGGTTTTTCCAAAACGGCCCCAAACGACCCACAAGACCGCATCTTCAGCATGCGTCCGTCCAAGAGGCGCAAAGAATGCCGAAGGACGGCTGGAGGTGGCTCGACAATTCTTCAGCAATGAAGGAAGAGTTATCGAACTTCAGGCTCTGCCGGATGCGACCAGGAGGATTTTCTGGCCTTCTACTGCGCCGCAGTTTGGCCTCAGACGCGTGACCAGAATGGGAGGTGGGGGGGGCGTTCGATCCATCGTTGTTTGGCCATGGCGGCGTGCACTACTGAGCCAGACTAGGGCATCCCCTCTTCTTTTTTCAGCTCCTCCTTTGGTCCTCCGGCGGATGAAGAGAAGCGCAAGAAGCGTTACAGAAGCCGCCGATCCTCCAGGTTCTTGCTGCCTCTTCCTCGTTCTCCCACGTGGCGAGAGCCGAAACGGCGAATAAGTAGACTGGCCGTTCCCGACAGGCTTGCCTGAGCGCAGACCGCACGGGGGCCTCCTTGCCGATCGCTGGAGGCGTGGGCCGCCGCGGCAGCGATGGGCCACCTCGGTGTATGAGCTTCTATAATCTATACCTATGGGGCGTATCCCATCTTTCTCCTCCTCCTCCTCCTCCTCCTCCTCCTCCTCCTCCTCCTCATGCTGGCCGGCATCGACCTATACTTCGCCTCGGTCGAACTGTACCGGCTCACGGAGCCTGGTTTTCTGGATTTCTTCCAAATGATGAACTCTGCATTTACCCGAGAGTTTTTAGAAATGGACGGGGAGCTCGTGCTCCCATGTTTGGAAGAGGCGTGACGCTGATTGTGGAGGCGTGGGGGAGAAGGGCGGGAGAGGGAGGGGAGGAGCGACGAACGAAGAGAAATGAGGGGGAGTTGATTAGGAATGAGAGAAGCAACATGAGACGGATGTAGAATACGAATGTCATGCGCCATGTTACATCGGTCCTTAGCTCCCTTCCTGTGCCATCCTGTGCGCCCCTTGGCGGATTACTTTCTTTACCTGTGACGTGTACCGGAGCCAGGAGGGGCTGCGTAAATGCCGATGCCTGGCCACCCGTTTGTAACACAAATGCTTTCCTCTGTCATCCGAGGAATGCAATGTGCCATTCTCTCCGCACTGGCTGCGGGGCACAGTGATGCACAGACCTTCGGAGCCCAATCAATCTCGACGGGCCGTCGCATTCGCATCACGCTTACTTCGCAGAAACAGGGGCGGCCCAGACGCCCGACGTGGTGACTCTGGTGCACGAGGCGGGGACCGGGCCCGGGGCCGCCCGAAACATGTCGTCAAGAGAATCGATCGGGCTGTGAGCACTTCGTTTCACACACGAGAGGCTGCTAGTGCATTTGGGTTCTTGCTGCCGCCGACACTGTCAAAGCGCCTGTCCCAGGTCGGCGCTGGCCGAGGGGCCGCTGACCCAGGGAATAACAAAAAAAAGAGAGGGCCCCCAGACCTCCCACGAAGCCGCCAACCAGCCTCTCAGACCTGCCCAACACGATCCAGGGAGCCCCTCATTGCCACAATAGCGACCCAAGACGCCCAAGACAGCCTCCAGACAGCCCAGGATGTCTCCAAGACGCCCCACGAAGCCGCCGAAAACCTGCCGAAGAGGGCCCCCAGGGCTTAATTTGCGGCTTGTTCATTGGTTTTCACGAGTGCGCGTGTCTAGCCCCAGTGCAATCCGAAAGGGCCCCAGACGCCTTCGAGTTCGCTCTGAGGCGGCCCAGGAACCTTCGAACGCGGCCTACACATACAGCCTCAGAGGCCCCTCAGACCTCCCACGAAGCCACCAACCAGCCCCTCAGACCTGCCCAACACGATCCAGGGAGCCCCCCTTTGCCAAAGTAGCGACCCCAGACGCCCAAGACAGCCTCCAGACATCCCTATCTTAGATGCCTCCAAAACGCCCCACGAAGCCGCCGAAAATCTGCCGAAGAGGGCCCCCAGGGCCGCACTCCATGCATTTCACAAAGGGTTTTTTACAAGATTTTCATGTGTGCGCGTGTCCAGGTCCGGTGCAATCCGAAACGGCCCCAAAGGCCATCGAGTTCGCTCCGAGACGGTCCAGGGGGCTCTAACACGGCCCGACAAGAGCCCTAGATGGCCTCCAGAGGGCCCCCCCAAAGCCCCAGATGGCCTCAGAGAGGCCCCCAGCAACCTTCCCAAGGGCGCCTCAGCGCCTCAAGACGGCCGACGAGGGCCCCAAGGCAACCCTAGAGGACCCCACGACAGCCCCAGGGGGCCACGCGAGGCTCCCCAGACGGCTCCCACAAGCCCCAAGATGCGCCCATGAAGAACCACTCACGCCCAAAGCCCACCATGACGGCCCAGAACAGTTCCATGACCGACGAAAAGGACTTGGACCATGCTGGTGAATGATGATGATGATGATGATGATGATGATGATGATGATGATGATGATGATGATGATGATGATGATGATGCTGATGCTGATGCTGATGCTGATGCTGATGCTGATGCTGATGCTGATGCTGATGCTGATGCTGATGCTGATGCTGATAGTGATGATGACGATGATGCTGATGCTGATGCTGATGATGACGATGATGCTGATGAAATGATGAAACGATGAAACAATGATGATGACGATGCTGATGCTGATGATGATGATCATCATCATCGTCATCATCATGGACATGTCCGCCAGCCCCCATTTAACGTGCTCCCGGAACGCTTCTCCGGAGCACGTTAACTAACGACGACGTTGACGATGGCGATTGCGATGACGATGACGAGTATGATGATGAGGATTCTAATGGAGACGCCCATCACGACCAGCTCTGCACGACAGCGTGATGCCAGGGCGGCCGCCGCGAAACGTTGAGCAAAAGTTCACGATCGTACTCCAGACTCCTCAGACACCATCCTGAGCCAATAGCAACAGGACGCCATCCTCGCCCAACACCTCCCCCACCCACTCTGTCAGGCCAGATGTACCCCACCCTCGCATCCATTTGTGGTCCCTGTCTCCACTTCGTAAACCCCACGGTGACCCAAGTACCACGGCATGGGATACGACGTTACGAACCAGTTCCCCGCGAGGCTCCCCAGACAGCTCCCACGGGGCCCCAAGACACCCTCTATGACGGCCCAGAACAGTTCCATGACGGACGAAAAGAACTTCGACCATGTTTTCGATGACGATGACGATGACGATGATGATGATGATGATGATGATGATGATGCTGATGATGATGGTGATGGTGATGGTGATGATGATGATGATGATAGTAATGATGGTGTTGATGATGATGATGATAATGATGCTGATGCTGATGCTGATGATGACGATGATGCTGATGATGATGATGTTGGTGATGATGATGATGCTTATGCTGATGATGACGATGACGATGACGATGACGATGACGATGATGATGATGATGATGATGATGATGATGATGATGATGATGATGATGATGATGATGATGATGGACATGCCGACAGCCCCAACTTAACGTGCTTTGGGAACGCCTCTCCGAAGCATGTAAACTAATTCTTTACGCCTCGCGTATCCCCACCAGCCCATCTCAAAACAGCAACTCTTGCGAAGCATGCCGACAGTCGTGTTTTTCAGGCGTGTTTCCGCCTGCCCCCGCATATCTCCCCTGTTCCTCCTTCCTCCCGCCTCCTTGTACATCCTCCTTGTGGTGGGAGCGGGAGAAGGACGAGGCGGAGGAGGAGGGAGAGAAAGCGCTCCTCGTGGTTTGAGTCGTTTGGGGTTTCTCGTCCTGGTGTGAGTCGTTCGGGCCCTTCTTCCTGGTGTGAGTCGTTCGGGCTCTTCGTGGTGTGAGTCGTTCGGGCTCTTCGTCCTGGTGTGAGTCGTTCGGGCTTCTCGTGGTGTGAGTTGTTCGGGCCCCTCGTCCTGGTGTGAGTCGTTCGGGCCCCTCCTCCTGGTGTGACTCGTTCGGGCTCCTCGTGGTGTGAGTCGTTCGGGGCCCTCGTCGTGGTGTGAGTCGTTCGGGCTCCTCGTGGTGTGAGTCGTTCGGGCGCCTCGTCCTGGTGTGAGTCGTTCGGGCCCCTCCTTCTGGTGTGAGTCGTTCGGGCTCTTCGTGGTGTGAGTCGTTCGGGCCCCTCGTCCTGGTGTGAGTCGTTCGGGCTCCTCGTGGCGTGAGGCGTTCGGGCACCTCGTCCCCTTTTGGGGCGTCTTGGGGGCCTCTTGGCGGCCCCAGGGGCTTCTAGGAGCGTCTTGGGTGCCTTGGGGGAGCCTCTTCGGGCCTCTTGGGAGCCTCTTGGAGGCCGTTTGGGGCGTCTTGGGGGCCTCTTGGCGGCCCCAGGGGCTTCCAGGAGCGCCTCGGGGGAGCCTCTTGGGGCCTCTTGGGGGCCTCTTGGGGGCATCTTGGGGACCTCTTGGAGGCCTCTTGGGGGCCTCCTGGGGGCCTCTTGGGGCTATCTTGGGGCCTCTTGGTGCCTCCTGGGCGCTTCTTGGGGCCATCTTGGAGGGAATCGATCAAAGAAGAGGGGAGCTTTAATGAGCGCTGCCCCCTCAGAAGGGCAAAATGAGGCCACAACCTTCGTAAAATCAATGATTTTGCCTGGAAGGAA